AGACACACAGTTTAAAGAAACTTAACTAAGGCGGAAACTCAATCCACATTTATAGCCATTAAATATCACTCGCACACAATTGCTCACAATGGGGCATCAATTTGCTCTCAATATTTACTACAATGCCTACTCTCTATCCGATGATAGGAGTAATTAATCACCGGGGTTGATCTACATCTTTAAGCCTTCAACCATTGGTGTCCCTAAGCTATTATCCGTCACCTAAGAGCCTCACAATATTCTTGTGGCTCAAGTCATTCGAGCTTTTAGTACTACCAAGTCACATCAAAGTCACGGGTTAAATTCTAAAACCATGACATCAGGGTGTTAGATAGAGCTCTAGGTTACATCACTAGGCACTGATTCTAGGTCACGGGATCTGACTACTAATTCACTATACGAATTTTACTTATCGGGGAGGATTAGTAGAACAAACATTTTTTAACGTTGAATATCGATCACCTATATACTTTTAGTTATATATGAAATAAATTAATAAAATTTTATAAATGCATTAAATCGATAAAATGCAGCACAATAAATCCACTAAATGGAATACAGTAAATCTATTAAATCGTTAAATCCATTAAATTTACAAAATTCAAAAATTTACTAAATCGAAGAAATCGAACGTTGCACTACTATAATAATGAATCTTCAAAAATAAATAGAACAACTATCTAGTAATATCTGTTTAATTTTATTTTGTTGCTTCTTACATGTTATGTTACATACATTTTTAATGCATAAATAAATTTATACTAAAGATCAAATATTTTACAATTGTACGTAAATCATATATAGTGCGACTTAATATTACAAACGCTTTATGATTATTTTAATCAGAATTTTCTTTCTTTTATGAATGGTAATATGAATAAAAATAATTTTAATATATTTAAATCATATTTAAAATCTGGTGAGGGTGGTAATTCTATTGGACAATGTAATCTTGGATGGTATTACTGTAAAGTGGTAATTCTAATGAGCAATTTAATCTTGGATTTTGCTACAAACGTGGCATAGGCACTGTCGCGGCTGAAGCTGGAAATTTTAATTATTTTAATATGAAATTTTCAAAATTTTTGGAGCCTTTTGTTAGGTTTTTTTAGGGTTAGGTTAAGGTTTAGAGGTAGTTTTAATAATAAAAGAGTATAAGTGAATTTTTGTAGAGTTTATATTTTTAAACCAAGGTCTCTAATTTCCAGCGACAGGCACATTAAAATCTTGCGATTTATGTAGATCGGACCCCAAAAATTGATTTAATTCTGGTCAAATCTGCAGATCATTTGGCCTAATGGAGATGAGTATTAAACTCATCTCCGTTAGGCCAAATGATCTGCAGATTTGACCAGAATTAAATCAATTTTTGGGGTCCGATCTACATAAATCGAAAAAATCAGCCCTTATGATGAAAATGGTAACTCCATGGACAATATAGTTTTGGAAGATGATACCAAAAAATGGTAGACACTGTCAAATATGAAGAAAGAGCATTTTGTGTGGTATTTAAAATCTGCCGAGGGTGGTAATTCTAGAGAAATTATAGTATTGGGAAGTGTTATTAAGATGGAATAGGCACTGAAAAGAAGATATTGATGTTAAAATCTGCTAAAATCTGCTAAAAGCGGTAACTTCAGTGGACATGGAAGGCGGAATAGGTACTTTAAGGATGAAATAAACATTTGGGTGGTATTTAAAATCTGCTGAAAGTGGCATCTCCAATGGGCAATGTAATCTTGAATGGTGCTATGATGCAAGACATCTATACTAGACAATAATTTTCAATACGCTAAAACTTTTATAGGATAACATTTTTTTAAAATCTGACCGGTAACTTCGTTCTTCATGATGAGCTCTACAGAGTAAGGATAGGAATCGGTCAGAAACTTTTAGTCGATTAGTCAGTCGACTAAATCCGTTAGTCGTCGACTGACTAAAAATCGACTAGTCGATTAATCGATTAGTCGACTAGTCGACTAATCCGAATAATCAACTAATCTGTTATTTAGATATTATATGAACAATAGTTAACCAATTGATTTGTCTATTAACCTTTGATTAATTACGTATAATAACTATTATTAGTTAATTATTCGATCTGATTAATCGATCAGTCAACTAGTCGATTAGTCAACTAATCGACTAATCGACCGACTGATTATGAAAAAATTTTGTCGATTAGTCGATTAATTACTAGATGATTCCTATCAGTTACCGGTCAGATTTTTAAAATAATGTCTTCGTAAAAAGTTTATTTTATATATAAATCTTAATATTTTTCAAAGCGCTAAAACTTTTTATATAAGTGGTTTTTCAAAAAACTGATCGGTAAGTTTATAAAGCTACATAAGCTTCATAAATTAATGGTTAGTTTTATAAAATAAACTTCTTGCATAAAAATTTTAGCAGTTTGAAAAATCGAAACAAGTCACGTGATTGTTGAGTATAGATGTCTTGCCCATATCAAAATGAAATAACATCATTAAAGATGAAAAGAAAGCATTTTGATTGGTATTTAAAATCTGCCGAGATGATAGTTTTATTGGACATTAATAATCTTGGATAAAATGGAATATGCACTACTAAGAATGAAAAAAGCATTTGAATGGTATTTGAAATCTGCCGAAGGCGGCGATCCTGATGAGCAAAAAAACCTTAGGTTATGTCATCAAGATGGTATCGAACATCACAAGATGATAAAGTTGATAAAGTTGATAATCTAAAACAATTATCATGAAAATAATTCATCAATATTATGGATACCATTTATTGAATTAAATTTCATTAGAAAAATTAGAAAAGGAGGTTACAATTGTATATAATGCATTGAAAATAACAGTAGCAGCTAAATATTTAATGAAGCAAAAGAACTTTAAAAAGAAGTAAATGATCTATCTAGTTAATGATTTATATTTTATAACATATATACTTATTATTTTAAAAACTAAGCACATAAATAAAATTGAAGAGAATACCCTAAATTATGGAATATCAAAGAACGAAAGCACTAAAGAATATGTCTTGATTATGCAATATGCACAAGTGGATCTTTACATAATAATCTTTCTATTGTTGCAGGAATGAAACGGAAAAAAATTTGAAATTTATTATCATGTATGCATTTAATCTTAAATCAATTCATTCACAATATCATTTATTGTGATTTTATGTAGTTTCAAGTAGAGACTGGACTCAAGTCAACTCGTGGCTTAAAAAACATAGTCTTGACTCGAGTTAATTCGAGTTAAGACTATGTTTTTTAAGCCACGAGTTGACTCGAGTCCAGTCTCTAATTTCAAGATTATTTGTATATTGTATATTTTGGTGATTTAGGGTTTGTAACATCAGTTAATAAAATATTAAAGGCGGGATCTGGAGGAATTTATGGAGCTTTGCCATATATGAAGCCCGAAGTTCTAAATGGAAAGGATTTATAAAAGCATCATATATTTATATTTAAAATTAGCCATAGGAATTTGTGACGAGATAAGACCAAAAATTCTTAAAGGCACAACATTGTGTTATATAGATATTTTAAAAAGATGTTGGGATGGCGATACAGCTCAGTGCTCATCTGCTTCAGAGATTTATGAAACTTTAAGAATGATTATAAAATTTATTAAATTTTTAAATTTTGAAGATAAAAATAGCAATGTATAGTACCGATTTTTTATATAGTAGTAAAATTATTGGCATTAATTATACTAATCGATCACAAAGTAACCTATGTAAAATTTTTTTTCCAGGCAATAACCCTTACAATTAAGGATAACGTAAATTCTTGTTATAGTAATACAAGTTTAAACTTTATTTCTTAATCTGTCTTGCATGTAAATTTGTCGCAAATTTTTCACGAACGATCTATCGAACTATATCTGTATATTGAATAATAGTTTACATTACACAATTCTGCAATTGTAGTAAGATAGTTGAAATATTGATTTAAGTTATATCTGTGATTCGAATATATTTTTTTTCGAAAGGTCTCGGCTTTCAAAAATTAAGTTTCAGAATATACATTTTTGGGTTTCTTTTACGAAATTAGAAATTATATTCTATGTTTAGGTTTTTATTCCGGAAACTAGTTCTATATTTTCTTTTCAGGTCAAACATACGTATATTATAAGCGGCAAAGTACTCCAAATAATATAAAAAAAATGATTTTAAATAAATTGGCCAATCAAAAGATATACGATATAGCTAGGATGCTAAAATAATTTTAATTGGATGAAGTACATAATTTGTATCTCACGTGCTTGAGTACTTTTGAACTTTCGGGTTTAGGACTTGAATGGATAATACATAAACCAGTCTTCATTATGAAAAAAAAATATGAAGAGATAAATTTGGTAAATTAATTATGCACGTTAACTCTCCATTTATAGAAAGGCATAAAGGAAAAATCCATAAAATTACTTATTATCCGCATTAATCGCTAATCCAAATTTATGCTCCGATTAACGAAAATAAATGCATCAATGGACCTAAACATTTATAATATGAAGCTGAGGATTTTGTCGTTTCATAACCATAAATGCTTTCATATTTTAAAAATTCACAAAAATGACGATATTGACTCGTAACGCCTTTGCTACCTTGTTAGCCTTTTTTATCTTTTTTTGGTTACTCTTGGTAAGACATAAATGCCTAAATATGGAATAATAGTGTAACAATGAAAGGGCTTATCAGTATCAAATCTTGTTATCGATAGTCATTAACTATAGTAGGTAAATTCAACCATTTATACGTAATTGTTTTCCCGATCTTCCAAATAAAGTTATAAGTAAAATAATCTTAAGTGTACATGAAAAATATTTGCTGAATATTTATATATTAAAATGGTAATTTTCACACCATTATTAATCATGTGAAATGTTTTACCAAAGTATAATATTGTTTAAGAATTCACAAAACAAGCCCGCAGAGCGGGCGTCTCTTCATTAATTAATTGTAAATTAAGAGTAGATTGTATTTATATATATATATATATTTTCAAAATGGAATTCGAACGTAAAAGAGAATTAGAGGAAAAAAAGCAAAAGCTTCTTAGACTTAAACAACAGAAAGAAGAGCGCAAACTCAATAGTCAAAGCACATTTATAAGTGAGCCTGCGTATAGAGATCCGGTACATTTTGTACATTAAACTAATTATTATTGTAATTCTAAAAATATAATTAAATTTTATGATGTACATTTATAGGATAGGGAACGCAAGATCAATGAATTTGCTAAAAAATTGCTAGAAGAGAATGATAAGCCCACAGTACGTACATCACGTACTGGAACACTATCAAGTCAGGAAGATCTTGGTATAATTACCAATAAAGACAAAACCGAGAAGGGTAAAAGTGCTACGCTTTATTCAAATAATTATTCGTCTCCGGGCGCCTCGGTCCCTCCAAGGTTTTTTTCAATTTTTTTTTTTTTGATTTAATTCTGCGAATGTTTAATATATTTGTTAAAAAAAAAAATTCTTTTTATTTAGCTATGTAGTTTTTAATCAATTGCTGTTTTTTTATATAATAGCCCAACTTTTATTCCACCCCCTCGTTTTATGCCTGAGCTGAGCTCGGCTCAAGGGGTATCAGTAGACATTGCCGCAAGGGTAATGTCCGAGCCTACAATTTTTTTTTATTTAATGGTAATCTTTTCTTGAATTTTATGACCGAATCAGAATTTGTTACCACATTTTAGGATATCTCATTAAACGAAGGGGGAGTACAAACTGAAGAAACTTCCTTTGGACCTTTACCACTTTCAGAAGAGGAAATTAGAGAAAATATCTTGAAAGAAATAAAAAATGAAAAGGCTAAAAAAGCTGCCGAGGAAGCCGAACGATTGAAAGTAGAGGCTGAAAAAAAAAAAAAAAAAGGTAATTGTCTGATAAATAATAATATACTAAAATAATAATAAATAGTAAAATAAAAATAGAAATAATAAAATAGTAATATTATTATCATAAAAATAATGATAATGATAATTTAATTAGATTTATCGGAAGAAGACAAAGAAGCATTAATAAATTCATCAAAATTTGCTAATTTCTTTGACAATTCCACCGAGCTCATTGAAGATATTCTGAGTGAACGTTTTGACATTATGATAGATTATAGTGTTATTGAAGATGTAGAAAGGTAAAGTTACTACAAGTATTTCTTTTCTTTTAATATTATAAATAAAAAACTAGTTAATTAATTAATTAATACGAAACAAAGTAATGAAGAAACAGGAAATCATGTTAAATGTATGCATTCATTTTTCGATGACCGTTGGAGCAAAAATCGGTCTGTTACTGATGTTAATTTTTCGAACAAGGTAAAAATATATTTATTTCAATATCCACTTACGTTCTTAATTTTTTATACATAATAATTAATTTATCATTATGTTTGCACACATCAATGCAGAATCCTGAACTTGTTGTTGCTTCATATAATAAAAATTCATCTGCAAAATATGAACCGGATGGTATCGTTTTAATATGGAATTTACGTCATCCTGAGAAGCCAAATCACGTTCTTCATTCTCAAGTTAGTTAATATCGTTATAATTTTACTATTTTATATAAATTCAATTCTCATAAAAAAAATTGTTCCTTTAATTCTGTATACGTACTTAGTCGGATGTGCTCACGACCACTTTCTCCGATTTTAGACCGGAGCTTGTTATTGGTGGTACTTATTCTGGACATATAATGCTTTGGGATACAAGAGCCAAATCTTCTCCTGTTCACAAAACATCTTTCTCTGTGATTGGTCATACTCATCCTATCTATTCGATGCAAATTGTTGGTACTGAAAATGATCATAATCTAATCACTGCAAGCACTGATGGTGTCATATGTTCTTGGCATTTAGATATGTTGGCACAACCAGTGGTATGTTGAATTTTTTTATATATTATAATTACTACAGTGATATATCAAAATTTTAAATTAATTTATTTTTCAATTTTTAGGATCGTTTGGAATTAATACATTCTGAACATAGTAAAACTGATGAAGTTTCAGTTACTGCGTTTGGGTTCCCATCTGATGAGACTACAGCTTTTTGGGTCGGAACGGAAGAGGGTAATATATATCAAGCTAATCGACGTGGACGTCCTGGAGGGTAATTACAAAACAATTGATTCAATTCCCTATATTTTAATTATCATTCATTCATTCATTTAAATTTTTTTTAGCAAAGCTGGAATCAACCAGTATGACTTTTATAAAGGTCATTGGGGTCCGGTCACTGGTCTTCATTTTCACCCTAATAACAATGATACAGATGAATTTTCAGATTTGTTCTTGACTTCATCTGTAGACTGGACCATTAAGTTATGGAGAGCCAAAGTAAGAGAATTTAATTCTCGTAAATAATATCTAATCTTGAATTATATTGAATTATTTATTAATTTTAAATTGTATTATTTTTTAGTCATTTTTAAAACAGCCAACATCTCTGCAAATTATTACACCATTACATTCATTTGATTGTGCAGATGACTATGTTTATGATGTTAAATGGTCACCTCGTCATCCAGCACAATTTGCTTCTGTCGATGGTACAGGAAAATTTTCTTTATGGAACATGAATATGGATGTTGAGGTAACTTGATCATTTTTTATAACGTATACATTATGCATGAGTTATCTTCTTAAGCATTTCGAATTTACTATTTAATAATAAATAATAGGTGCCTATTGTTAGTACTCAGGTCGGTGAAAGCAAAGCATTAAATAAGGTTCAATGGGATAAAGAAGGTAGGAAAACAGTAATTGGAGCTTCTGATGGGCATGTTCATGTTTATGATATAGGAGAGGTAAGAGCTTTTTGTTGATTATTTTAATTTATTGATTAATTTTCATTTTTAATTCTTTTTTTTTTTTTTAAGTTATGTGTTCCTCAAGAAGATGAAAATAATCTTTTACAAAAAACGATTTCGGAACTAAGTGATGTTAATATCAATGATAGTTTAGATACTCTTAATCCAAGATTATTTTTTGCAAAATAACTTATTATTATTTACTATATAATTCATTTTTGCCAAATAATTAATTATTATTACATAATTTTCTTTCAACTATTTTTTCTTTTTATAATATGAATTTTTACTGGATGGTTATCATTCTTGTTGAACAAGATTCTAAAAAAAACCATCAACGATTTTTCATTTATATATAATCTGTATTTTAAATATTATTTAACTTAGGTATTACTGTAATAATATTGAGTGAAAATTATACAAGCGCTGTACTTAAATACGTGTGCTTGAATAATTTGTTATTTTTTGTTTATAGGTAGTTTTATTCTCAATTTTGTAAATTATTTAACGTTAAATAAATAAGAAATATTATGAGATACGTACAGTCTACGCCTGAATTTTTTTAAATACTTGTATTGAAAAAAAATTGAATTTGAACAGATTAAAACTCAACTAAATTAAAGATCTTTTATCCCTTGTATTCATTAGTTCAACTAAACTAGTCGAAAACCGTAACTATTTCCAGAAACTTAAGTGAAAGAAAAGAAAAATATAATATTGACAAGATTGTTTTAGGAATATTAAGCAATGATTAAAACCTTTAAAAGTAATCACGGATACTAGGCAACTTACCTTGTCTATGAGGAATAAAGTCATTTCTTTTATCTAACTTTTTAGCAATGGTCAGTATTTTCTCGTCATTCATGTAGGAACCGTGATTTTCTTCATAATGAGAGCTAAATTTGACTAGTACGTATCTATAGATATACGTCCGTACGTGATATATATATACATGTTTTAAATAATAGCACTAAACATCACACATTAAAAAATTTATGATATTAAAATTCCGGTGTGATTTGGCGTTTCTAAATATATCCAAATTATATCAAAAATATATATTTTGTTATACATGAGTGCTGTCAAGAAAAAAAAAATAAATCTGCAAGTCGGAATTTAAAAGGATTTTTACCGAATCAGAACTGAATTTAAGCTCAATATATTAAAAAATTTGCGCATCCATAGAGATCTGGCCATAAACAACTCATTTACTATGCTAACAAAATAATCGTTATAATGATTTATAAACAGAATATTGTTTCTAATCGCAACTTTGTATATTAATTTTCTATAAAACTCTTTTTTAATAAAATATATCTAGTAAGATAAAATGAACTCTTTTTACGTCAATTTACGATTCAAAATTGTTCAAAGTACAAAAGCTTCGAATTACGTATTTATTGTATGTAACAAACAATATAAAAAAATTATAAGCGTTTTTTGAGTAGTTAGTATCCTTTAATTAAATACAATTCATAGTAATTATCACACTTCATTGTTTCATCTCATCATATAAACCGAAAATTTTTTGCTTCGAATTATAAACGAACGAATAACAAATTAATTAACAATGAGTATAAAAAAAATGTTTATTTATTTATAACAAATTCATCTTTAATTAATATTACATAGTTTATTATTATTTTATAGTGTACTATTGCTTAATGCAACCATTGCATTACTTTATATTTTACATAACCCAGTAATCTTGATCAAAAAAATCTGCTTATCGTTTTATACGGTTTAAATCGGAGAATATCTATTAATCAATATATAAAAAAAATTAAACAAGATAAAATAATTCATTTCTTCAATTATTTAACTTAATTGTCCATACCGAGTCTCAACTTGTGAGAATATTCTTTTTTGGAGTGCTGGCCTATATCCCAAAGAAAAAAGAATTTCCATCCAAGCAAATAAAGGTGCGAGAAGAATTGCTATAATAATAACAATAATAAATGATTAATAATTTATTATAATGTTTTTTTAAAATCTTACAAAAAAAAAATCAATGAAAAAAAAGCAAACCTTTTAAGATGTTCTCTCTTGCTGCAGGACCACTTTTCTCAACAAATATGTGACCAATAATTTGCAAGACCAAGGAAGAAACAAAAACAATTAGAGCAAGATTGTCGTGATTAGGATAGGAATCGGCGAAACTTGTGGCATCGTAAACCATGTAAAGGAGTAATGGTGAACCAAGGGCCTACATAATGATGATTCATTATTTATTTTTGTTTCTAAAACAAATTTACAGTATAAAAAACGCAAAAATTTTCTAAAGGCAATTAACGAAAATTAAGAATCATTAGAAAGTGTAATGTTTAACTTACCCCAGCCACAGGTTCCAACAGAATATAATAACATATGTAAGAAAGTACAACAAAAAATGCTGCGTTAGGAATGAATGGTGTAAGGCGCCATAATGAATCTGGTTCATAGGGTAACAATGGACCAAAATTTGCTACCAAGACCAAGAAACTCCACAAGATGAGGGGTGTACACACTATCCAATTAAGACAACCCAAATATGAAAGCAAGCATAGTGAGCATAAGATAAGCTGTGACTTAAAATTTGTCAAAATGTAGTAAAATACAAAAGAAAACAAAAAAAAAAAACAGAAAAAACAAAATCTCGGTCAAGCAATAAAAGTTATCCTGTACCAATATGAATAAGTGCGTTAACCTTATGGGAATGATGTTTCCAGTAAAATATAAGTTGTTCTTCCAAGTTTAATAAATCCATCACCATCTTACGAACGTTGATAACTGTAATAAACAGAGATATGCGGGTGCTACGTACGCATAAAGTGTTTGTTTATAATTATTCGTTACATAGGTTTCTAAGGTGTGTCAGATATGCACATGATTTTACTACTTATAGCATTATTGAATGTGATAATTCTAATTATGGACTTCTAAAATTAAACTCACATGTTATGATCTTGTCTAAATAAGGAAATCTATACAACGATTTCAGGGGTAGGCTGATGAAAACGAGTGTAATCATTGCAACAATAATCTTGGATCGGAAGGAGGAAAAGCATTGGCAGATGCGCTTTGCAAGAACTCCACGCTGACTTATCTGAATCTTTATGGGAATAAATTCGGATCCGAAGAAGGAAAAGCATTAGCAAGTACATGGCTTTGGTGTCCAGGAACTCGAACAACTGACATTTTTTAGCAAATCAGATTCCTGTCTATCAATTAAGAATACTCTAAATTATATTCCAAAATTTGATGCAAAAATCATATTTTGCATAATTCATTCATTTGCCGATGCGTATCTTGTTGCTGCACTTATTTTTTTACTTATCAAATATATATATATATATCAAACGTACATATCCTACCCAATACTACATTATAACTACAAGTTGGCAGCTTTGCCGCTCACCCATACAATCTCTAGTTATAGTGATTAATTGAAGCATTCTGAACAAATATTTATTTATTTATAAAATGCAGAATTAAAGTTTAGATAATCTGGATAATACTATAAAAAAAGATATTTGCATTTTTATATTTTATTAAGAAGTAATAGTTGATTTTTGTTTTCAATCGATAGAAAAAAGTGCTTAAAATTATCCCAAGTGAGAGATAAATTATTTATTTAAATACTTCGATTGATGATGAATTATGCTTAAAAAATTTTAAGGTGAGTAATTAGGCCATACCAACTTGATTCTCCTTTTATATTAATAAATATATTATTTTACAAACTTGTAAATTGATAATATTGTAAAAATATTTAATGTATAATACCAGATACATTAAATAATCTTTATAATTTTGTTATAATATATAGATCCTAAAAACTATGTTTAAAATAAAAATGAATAAATTACCGTATTAATTAACTATGAATGCTGAATCTGAATCAATTTGTTTAGAGTGGTTTATAAGAGCTAAAACTTGATCTGTATAAATTGTTTGTTTACGTGTCTGATGACTTTGTTTATTTGCCTGATAACAATCCATTAAATCTTTATTTGTTATTAATCCAAATCCAGAAAATGACTCAATCATTTCATCTATTTCATCTTCTTTTTTCATAAATTCCAGAATATATCGAGGAACTTGAAATCCGATTGTTTCAGCTTGTTTATGCAATTCAGTTATTACATTTTTTAAATCTTGATCATATTTTTCTAAAATGTTTACTAATTCTTCAGCTGTTGGCCGATTCTGAGATTTGGCATCTAGGCATTTATTCATTAAGTCCAGAAGCAATTTAGGAACTTTACACTTGATTTCTGGTCTACGATGACCTAGGCAAATGTTAGCTACTAGATCATAATCACTCGAAATACTATGATATGCCTCACATCCGGTAAAAATTTCTGACATTATTATACCGAATGAGTAAATATCAGATGATTTAGTATACGGCTTGCCAACTAAAACTTCTGGATCTATATATGGTAGTAGTCCATAAACTTTACCAGGTTCCGTCGTTGAACCAGTTAATATTGAAAGCCCTAGATCTACAATATATGCGCTGTGCAAACTATCTTGCAAAATGTTGCCACTATGCAGATCTCTATGAACAATGTTTTCCGAATGAATAGCTTTAAGATCAGAAGCAATGCAAAGTAAAAGTGTTAATTTGTTTTCCCATTCCATCTTTGCTATGAGAGGAAGATTTTTACGCAAGGAACCCATATGTGCTTGTCTCATGACAAGAATATATTCTTTTGAATCATTATCTTTAGATATCCCGTAACATTCCAAGAACGATGGATTATCACGGCTAATATCGCAGAATGCGTTCAACTTTAATATTAAGATATTGTTAATAAATTAAGATATTACTAATAAACTTTTAAACATCAAAATTTAAAAGACATCAAATTTAAAATTACCTCTTTTATGAACTCTTCATTATGTTTTCCTGACCTATGCAAAACTTTAAGCGCAACTGGTATGTCAACTTCTCGATATTTGTTAACCCATTTAGCAGAATATACTGTTGCAAAGCCACCTTGCCCTAATACTTCATTTATTCTCAAATCATTATAAGGAATCCATGATAATTTATGCTCAAGTAATATTTTTTTTAAACTGCTATCAACATCAGGATTTTCAAGTTCACTTAAAACTGTAAAGGTTTAGTGATTAGAATAGATTAGATAACGGATGATTGGCATAAACGAGTAAGTAACTAAATTATTTAAATAACCTAGCAGATTGCTTCTTGCCCTATCAATAAAAAACCATTGTAAATATGCATTATTTTGTAAAATTAAATAGATCTTTGAATATATATATTTACTTTAGATACCAATAATTGGCTTCTTGCAAGTTCCTGGTTACTCCAATTCCATTTCGATAACAATTAGCAGCTTGAGTCATTCCATTAACATATCCCATCACTGCAGACTTCAGAACATAGATAAATGCCTCGTTTTCATCTTCTTCAACTCCAATTCCATTTTTATAGCAAAAACCAACCATGTATGTCCCTTTAGCATGACCCATCTCAGCAGATTTTTGATAATAATTGAATGCCTTATGTTCATCCTTTTTAATCCCAATTCCACGTTTATAACAATAGCCAACATTATAAATCCCTTTAAGATGACCCATATCAGCAGATTTTTGATAATAAATGAACGCCTTATATTTATTCTTCTCAATGCCAATTCCTTTTTCATAACAATATCCAACACTATATATTCCACTAACGTTACCCATCTCTGCAGATTTTTTATAATAATTGAATGCCTTATATTCATCCTTTTCAATTCCAATTCCATTTTCATAACAATATCCAACCTGAAATGTTCCATCAACATTCCCCATCTCTGCAGATTTTTGATAATAAATGAACGCTTCATAAATATCCTTTTCAGTTCCAATTCCATTTTTGTAACAACAACCAAGATTGTATGCCCCAGTTGCGTCTCCCATATCAGTAGCTTTTTTATAAAAAATAAATGCCTTATGTTCATTTCTTTCGATTCCAATTCCTTTTTCATAACAATAACCAAGCTCATTTATTCCAATAATATGCCCCATATATGCAGATTTTTGAAAATGTTTAAATGCTTTAGACATGTCTTTTTCAACTCCAACTCCATCTCGATAAAAAGTACCTAGACCAAATATTCCATCACAATTTCCCATATTTGCGGATTTTTGAACATAATGAAATGCTTTGTCTTCATCCTTTTCTATTCCAATTCCGTATCTATAACAGTAACCGAGATGATATGTTCCAGCAGCATTACTAAGATCAGCTGATTTTTGGTAATAATTAAATGCAGCATATTCATCCTTTTCAACACCAATCCCAGTTTGGTAACAACGACCAACAAGAACCATTCCTTCAGAATTATTCATCTCAGCAGATTTTTGATAAAAAATAAATGCCTTACGTTCATTCTTCTCAACTCCAATCCCACTTTGATAACTGTAACCAACTCGATTCATTCCCTCAGCATTACCCATTTCGGCAGATTTTTGATAATTAATTAATGCCTTGTGTTCATCCTTTTCAACTCCAATCCCATTTTGACAACAATAACCAACTTGATTCATTCCCTCAGCATTCCCCATTTCAGCCGATTTTTGAAAATAAATGAATGCCATATATTCATCCTTTTCAACTTCAATTCCATTAAGATAACAATTACCAGCATTATATACTCCAAGAATATATCCCATCTCTGCCGATTTTTTATAATGAACAAATGCCTTATATTCATTCTTTTCAACTCCAATTCCATTACGATAACAATTACCAACTTGAAATATTCCATTAACATTTCTTTTATCAGCGGAATTTTGATAATAAATGAATGCTTTATTCTCATCAATTTCAACTCCAATTCCTTTTTCATAACAATAGCCAACTTGAAATATTCCATCAACATTTCCTTTATCAGCGGAATTTTGATAATAAATGAATGCTTTATTTTTATCCTTTTCAACCCCAATTCCTTTTTCATAACAATGTCCAACAATAAACATTCCAGCAGAATCACCCATGCTTGCAGATTTTTGAAAATAAAAGAATGCTTTATGTTCGTCCTTTGCAATTCCAATTCCATTTTGATATAAAAAACCAACTTTAAATATTCCCAACCTATTTCCTAATTCAGCAGATTTTTGATAATAAGTAAATGCCGTATGCTCATTTTTTTCGACTCCGATTCCTTTATGATAAAGCATACCAAGAATATAAGCTTCAGTAGAATTATCCGAATAAGTATCCTCAGACATTTTGAGAAATACGCAAGATGAAAAGTTCTTTTTTGATTGTTATGCAATTTTGAGAAATCAATATTTATTGCATTTTTACCTCGAATTTATATGCTAACGAATTTTCGCCATAATAATTCGTGACACCAATTTACTTCCTATAAAACAATCAATAAACAAAGCTTTTTAGGTTTTATTATTGGCTAATATCGATCACGAGATACTGTATGTCACGCTTAGAATTGCAGGTGAAACTTAGGGACGATGATTTTCTGCAGTGATTAATTTCTGCGATAATTCTTCTGCATATTTATTATTACAAAATTATCGCAGAAATTAATCACTGCAGAAAATCATCGTCCCTAGTGAAACTAATTAATTTACCAGGTGAAACTGGTGCACCTTAATAGCCAAATTGGTGAAAATGATAAACGGTGGTAATTGTGTTGGTGAAACTGGTGACATTGGTGAAATTGGGCATTGGTGAAACTGGTGAAGTTGGTGGTAATATTAGTAATATTACCAGTTTTACTAACATCACAGTTT